CGTAAAACTAATTCCGTAAACTACAACCGTCTCGCTATGCTAATTTTTGATTCGAAAAATTATATTTAAAAAATCGAAATTCGAAATGAAAATAGAGCACGTTCTTAGTTGAAAATCGAACGTTTCATTCAAAGAGAATAAAAATAATTCGTACTTGTTCGCGGTTAATAATTATAGTGCATAAGTTTCTCAAAGTTTTTTCAAACCATTATATATTTTTAGTTGAAAATCGAACGTTTAGTTTTATAATTCAAAGGGGATAAAAATAATTCGTACTATTTGTGATAAATAATTATTAGAAGAATAACGATGACGCTTTGTGGGAGGAACATCAATATTTACGGGCTTCCAGTCTACATACACACAGTAGTGTGGAACCGTGTATTATGCCATTCCATGATAATCGGGAGAGCGTTAGCCTCTCCCAATGTTAGAATCATTGTTTTCAACACTCGGCAGACGTCATTAATCATACAAACGCCGCGAGCTCTCTCGAGGGGCTGATAACTTCTAATTTCACCACTGTTACACACAAAAGTGAAGATTGCAATATCTTGGTAAACAATAATTCGATTCACGACTAAAAACGGTGAATGCTGACCACGTGACGGAGATCTAATGTGTCGTTTCGCTCGCTTTTCAACTTGCAAGAATATGAAAAAAGTTTGTGTGCCCTACATCGCTCCTGGCATTGGGAATCGAAATCTTTTTTCGACATAGCTTTTATCTTATTTTCGATTTTAATGAATGTGTACGAATTGAAACCATTATATACACTTTATGTATAAATTCGTAATAAATAAATAATATTAGAAGTTTAAAACATCTTTTTAATTCATTTTATATATACTTCGTATAAATTCGCGATGAGTATTTCAAAACTTTCTTAATTCATAAAATATATTTTATACATAAATTCGTCATAGACAAATAATCCGTACTTTTCATTAAATGGACGAATAAAAATAATTTTTCTAGCGAAAAGATCAGATTAGCGTTGATTTTATTGCGATGCCATTGCGAGACAAGAATTAATTTAATGTAAGTATATATATATATAAAAATACGAAAGAGAACTATGTGATAAAAATATTTTAAGAAAAAATGTTCGACGTAGGCGAATCATTCTGCTATATTACGGAATCAACTGAATCGTTCGTTCGAGAATGAGCTTCATTCATTTGTCTAAATTTATCACGAATTTTCATATATACGATGTTTTTCGCGTAAATAGGTACGAAACGTCTCGCAATTCTCGTGACCTTAATTATAACGGCAGAATGTCTTAATTTGGAATCGATTTTTTTCTCTTTCCGAAAATGTCGAAGAAGGTCATCGTTTACTTTCCACCTTTCGACATTACATATCTTTGTAATTTAAGTCCAATTGCATCAACATTACTTTAATTTTAAGTGAGGCTTAAAACTCTTCTCTTTCTCTCTATCTATCTTTTTCTCGGCTTTATAAAGAGAAAAAGTTTCAAATCTTGCTTAAAGTCAAAGATTAAAGTCAAAGTAACATTGGTGCAATCGGTTCTTAAAGTATTAAAATTGATCAATTAAAATTATGTTGGAGTTTATTTTAAAAATTAACCATAAGAGACAAGATCCCGTTATTTATTCACTCTGCTGAAACACAGTTTGCGGAAACTCCTCTCGCAATTGCTCTCGACAACTGTCGGTATCTCGACGTCTTCGCTGAGGAAAAATCGATCATAATTTTATCAGGAAACCTGCCATTAAGATTAACGTCTCGATGGAACATTCCGCGTACAGAAAACGCTGTTTCGAACGTCAAGGCGGATATTCGAGCGAGACGATAATAGAATATTACGTTTGCATCGTAAATATTTCCTTTTGCTTCTCGGAAAGAGTAGGTTTCGCTCATTTCTTTTTTATGGAAAAAAAAAAAACTGATTCAATAACGCGAGAGGAAGCACTCACCGAGACGAAGCTCCCCGAAGTTTCCACAGCCAATTTTCTTGCCGACCCGGAAGTTCGGGCCGACCATGAGCACGCCGGACGACGAGGTGACGCTGTGCCGGGACGAGTGCACGTTCGACCGGGCGGCATTACCGCTGCCCCTGGAGGTCCGTTTGGCGACCTCCTGGTCACGCTCGGAGCCGCGCGCTCCGAGCTCCTTGTCGCCGCGGTTATCCCTGCCGTCCCGCTTCTGCATCTCGTACCGGCCGTTGTTATCCACGGTTGCGGTGATTTAATTATCGATACACGATCCAACTGCGCGCATACGATTTTCCACCACACTCGCGTCGACAACGACGACAATGACGACGGCGACGGCGACGGCGACGACGACGGCGACGACGACGACGACGACGACGACGGCGACGACGACGGCGACGATGTCAGTTTTGGGTCAATGACGGGGATCGATCCCCGTGCAAGGCATATTCTCTATGCCCTCTGGGAAGAGCGAGGACGACGAAAGGGACGCGACGCGATACAATAGAAGAGAAACGACGGATACAACGCGACACTCACCGCAGTTTCCGCAAGCGGAAAAGGGCACGCGCGGGCGCGGTGTACACCGTTGTAGGGCGCGGAAGGGTAGGACGCACGGGTGGCGGCGACAGGAGAGTGGGAAAGGGGGAGGGAGGGGGGGAGAGAGAGAAAGAGAGAGAGAGGGTGGCTGGCTGGCTGATTGTCAGAGTTCGACGGACGATGCCACCTCACGGGGATCAATCCCCCATGCCAGCCTAACCTCTCAAGCGCGAACGATCTTATCCTTTTCGCTCACCGAGCGTTGTTTAGGTACGATCGACGACACGTAGGACGCGAACGTGGAAGGGCGCGGTGCGTCGCGGCGCGCCGAGGAAGCGTATCTGAGATGCTGTCACTCCTACTCCTTGTTCGCGCCTGGCGCGGCCCGATGGTCGGCAAACGTCACGGCAACAGGAGGAATCGAACGGTCGTTGCGGCGTCGTACGGCGTCGTCGTTCCGGACGATCCCATAGCAATTTCGACCCGTCTCTCACGCCCGGCGGCGGCCGCCGGGATGCCGGGATTGCCGGGTGTCGTAACAATCGACGACAGGAATCGCGCGGCTCACGCTCTGCCGACGCGACGCAGCACGGCATTACCGTGGCGGCGGCGACGGTTGTGACAGTCGTTGTTGCGCACGGTTGTGCCGTTGCCGCTCCTGCTGGTGCTACTGCTGCTGTTGCTGCCGGTAATGCTGGAACTGCTGTAGCCGCGCTTCGCGATCATCGGCTCCTCCATTACGCGCCGCGCGGAGCGCCGCGAGGATTTACCTTCGAGCGAGCGATTTCGAGATTATCGCTGCGCTGCTACCTCGCGGAGTTCACGCTACTCCGATTCCTTGTCGACTCGGCGGCAACTTCACTCGACTCCACTCGACTCCGCGCGCGACTCACGACTCCGTTGGACTCCGTCCGTAGCGCGACTCTCTCCGTTCGCCGATCGCGCCGGACAGGCAACGGTAAGGCGCCGAGATTCCCTAGAGGCCGCACAGGCGCGAATCCCCCGTATTCATATACACCTATACTTTCCTCCCGTCCTCAAATTCGCGCGCGCGTTTCACGACGATGCACCCACGCACCGTGTCAACAGCGTGTGCTCCCGATCGGTTCTGACGCACGCCCGCCTGCACGCCCGCGCGCAAACACACACACACACACACACACATACACACACCCTCACTCTGTTTCTCCCTCTCCTTCTTTCTTTCTTCTCGCCCTCTCTCTCTCTTTATCACTGCCGCCACGACACCGGACTGACCGGACTCGGACTACGAGCGCTCCGCGGATCGCTCCTTCTTTCCTTGACGTCGCGATACTCCCGTGGTGCTCCGCACTGCTCCGCACTGTTCTGCCGGATGTACAGCTGTCACGGCGACGCGCGCGCTCGCGCTCGCGCGTTTTTCTTTGACACGGAGCCGTCCGCGCCGCGCGATTTCGCAACGCACGAACGGTACTCCGTGGACTCGTCCTATCCCCGATCAAACGTCTCGCGAACGACAGGCCAGCGCACCTGCCTCTCGCGTTCAGAGACTTGAGTGAAATGAGTCGCTACGGACACCGGCAGGCCGACCAACCGCTAACGTCACGCTGAACTTGCTCACTATGCAAATTCATGCCTTTGTGGTCGCATTCGCTTTGGTGCTCGCAGTGCTTTAAGTATCTTTTCATCCTTGTCGTTTGGCAAATATTAAACAAGGACAAAATGAGTTTACTAGCTCTGTAAGAGTTAAATAAATGCTGCCCGTAAATAATAATAAAAAATATAATTAAGATAAAACATAAAAATATCTATATTTGTTGCAAATTAAGCGCAGAGATGTTTATTGTCTATTTCTATCAATATAGATTAACTTTAATCTCGATTTAATTTACTGTTTATCCTTCTCTAATTTTCAGAACTAGGAAAAGATAAAAAATAAGTTAAGTCGAGATTAAAGTTAATGTATATTGGTAGAAATGGATTTAATTCATTTAATATCATCCGTGGCGACCGACCAATTGCAGTCAATCGCAGCTATCTGAATTGCGGATTTCACGCTGGCTCGTTCCATTTGTTACTAGAAGTTCTAGTTACAGATGTGAGAGGTGTGAAATGATTTTTTTCTTTCTCTCTTATGATTTGTATATTTTCCTTCTCGAACTGTCTGAATCAACATGACGGATAGAAGGAGAAAACTCGCGCTCCGAGAAATATAGAAACGGAAAAAGATGGAGTTTTCGAATAATATATAGTTGAATATTAACTTAGGTTGGCAGACGTGCGTGAGCAACGCGGTGGCGCGTGATGTCAAAATTCACTTATTTCTAAATGAAAATGTCGACTGGAAAGAGTCCAGTTTCCGCTATTTCCGTCGGCGATTCGTAATTCACGCGACTGCGCGTGCAAACGAGATGGTGTAAAACGGCCGGAGATCAATATGACCGATATTAAGAGACGCACGTGAACTCGTCTAGTTTCATGCGAATGACGTAACAGAAAGTAGCATTATAACACAAAAATGGCCGGCGCCGTGTGGGCCGAGGACGAGATCGGGCGAAAGTGGGATCGCTGCTTCACAGACGCCATCCTTAAGTTCGGTAATTATCGTGATCGAGCTCGCCCGCGGTGATAGATATTACCTTTCATGACGTTACTGACAAATCTCTTTTCTCAGGTGGTGGTGTGATCCTCGGTGGAGTGTTTTCTCTATTTTTCTTCAAAAGTAAGATACATCGCTCCTATGACATAACTGTATTTGTTATTGTAATTGTCGAAGTCAATGGCAAGATACATTCAGGGACACACCTAGATTTGATCCTTTTAACATTAATAATTGTATGCATTTTAAATTTAGTCTATGATATACTCTTCCTGTTTCTCACTTCTTTCTCTCTTATCTTTTTGTCTCATACCCTATTTCTTTGTTTTTTTGTCATTTGAGAGAAAAGTCGACTAACTTGGAAAAGACAAAAAACATGATTGTTAATAAATGGTTACGAGAAGAGAAAAAGACAAGAGATAAAAAACACACACACAAGAAACAGGATACAAAGTATATTGTAGATTAGTCTTTAATCACATATGTGCTTCTTTGTAGAAACATTAATCATCTATGACATCATGTAACTTGAAAGTTATATAGTCGTATATCTCTATCTTTAAGTCTCAACAATTAATCAATGTTCACTATTTATGTAATCTCTTTTTCATGAGCAAAGAGTATCCAGTTAAAAAGAATTAATTGAGCTCTCTGATTCTAAATGAAAGTACAGTTTCTTTTACTTGTATTACAATTTTTACAGAATATTTTTATTTTCTATCAAGAGAATGGTTTTATAGATAAGATTAGTGCTACTTTAATGTATGTCATAATGAGTGATAAATAATGGTGATATACTTGATCATAAGTTAATGGCTGTGTTCAGCATAAAAAGCAATTTTACAATTCTGTTATAAAACATTTTAATATAATTAGTCTTGCTCCTAATTCTACATTGGATCTAAATATATAACCAACCATATTTAAAAAAGCTTACAATGCTGCAAGTTGCTTTTTCCTCTAAATGCAATCAGTATTTAAATTAAAAAATAATTTATAAAAAGAAATTTGAAGAAATCATATAAACTGCCTGTTATCAAATTTCTTTTTCAATTATTATAAAACATATATGGATACACTAAATTCTCTTTATAGGAAGAAAGTGGCCCATTATAACTGGAGGTAGCTTTGGATTAGGTATGGCGTATGCCAATTGCGAGGAAGACATCAATGCATCAATACGTCAACAGAATTCCAGAATTTGTAAATTTGAAGAAAAGAAATAATTAGAACAAATTGTAAAAACAAAATTGAAGTTATTACTAATATAAGAATTATATTCAAATAAACTAAATAACTTTATCACAATAATCTATTGTTTTTGTATATTCGATCTGTATCTTTTAATCTTAAAAAAGTAACATACAATAAATGGCTTTGTAAAAGAAATATATTTCTTGACTATTTATTAACATTACAGTAATATAATTATAGAAAAATACAAGTATGAAGTATCAACAAATATTAATATACATAAATATGTAATATTAAGAAATGTAAGATTTTTCAGCTTTTTTCATCATTGCTTATAATTATTTAAACGCATATTTATACTCATAAATTCTTTCATTATATAATATATGTATATATATAAATAATAGAGTAATGCTGAAAGTCATAGTGCATTCAAAAGTGATGTGCAAACCATAATGATTAGTAATGTTCCGTAATAGATATAATCTATTATAATTGACTTGCATAAACAGATTCTGTTTAATTCTTTCTTTAATTAACACACTTATCACACTTAACACATTTATTTCAGAATTTCCAAAATTTGCTTAACAAAAATTTCACGTTAAAAAGTTTTGTATGAAGTTAAAAAGATTTAAAAATGATAATCAACCAATTATGTGAAGATATTCAAATAAACAAATACGTATTTTAATCTACAATTATATTTTTAATAAACTGTTCATTTGATCACATTTAATACTGTAAAAGAAACGTATAAATAAATATCAATTTTGGAGATTCTGAGGTTTTATATAGTACATGAAAATTCTTGTCTTTATTTGGCATCTTAGTGTATATGCTCAAGTATGGAATATGCTACTAAACGAGCAAAAAAGAAATAAATGTTTGTAGAGTGGCATTGTATAATTTATATCTTAAGATTAAACACCATACCCAAAAATTGTTCGTAGTGAATCGTTATCACGCCATCCAGATCCGTATCCAATCGTCTAAAAGCGCTGGTAAGAGTCTGAAAATATGTAATTATTACATTTTTTAAATTAGAGTTTGAATATTCACAATTATCAGATAAATCATTTTTTAAAATTATAGGCATACATTTTAAATATGTAGGCTCAAAAATATTAGCTTAATTATAACGTTATTTAATTTTTTTAATTGACAAGAATAATTCATTTAAATGTAATTTAACTCATAGATATACAAACCAATTGAGTTTAAATTAAAGCTTCTACATATAAAAGTCAACAGGTATTTTTAAGCAAGGTCATGAGCCACACCCAATGAAATTATTTAGATTGCTTTACAGCTATACTTACATGCAGAACAATACAGCACTGTATAAAGTCATCAAAGTATATTGTACCGTGACCCGCGCGATCGTACTTTCGTATCAGCATGTCAATTATTTGATCACTTAATCGGTACCCAAAGTTTATAAGAGCTGTCTTTAATTCATTGCGATCAATGTTACCGCTATTGTCGCGATCAAACGAGCGGAAACAATTCTCCCAATCGGTCACGTACTTCCACAGTGCTCCAAATTCTTCGAAACTGACAGTACCTATCTGCTTCTTATCAAACATACCTGTAGCAGGATCGGATTTATCAAACATACCTGTGCCAACAAAGCAAGGAACAAAATAATAATAACATCAAAAGACCATGCAAATCAATATATACATAATTTTATAATAATATAGCAAGAACTAAAAAGTGTGCAACATGCTGTGATTTAAAAAAAATTAACAGCATAGTATTCGTAGAAAGAACAATTTTGCTCAAGTATCTAAAAATTTAGCTAGATATAGATATAGACATACATCTGAAAATAATTTTGTTGAACTATCAAAATAATTAAGAAGAAATCTCAAGCATGATGAGTAATGCTACAAAAAGTTTTGACATTCCAGCAATCCATTTGAATAAATGCGCAATTATTTTGATGACTCAACAAAACTATTTTTGAAACTGTATATCTAGCTAAATTTTTTAACGCTTTAGCAAAATTGTTTTTTCCATGAGTTGGAAGTTTTTCTAGCATCAAGCGATAGATATTCAGCCTTCTCCATTTAGAGTATCTACAGAAAAGATGAAAATATTTTAAATATAGAAGAAACTAGATAGAGTAATCTGTGTATTATAAATTCACATGGTCATTTTGAAAATATATTATAAACATGTCATACCAATCATTAGGCGTACAGTTTCAGGATTGAACGGCGTCCATGTACCGTTTGACAAAGCTTGTTGTAGCTCATCAGCACTGATTGCACCAGATCTGTCCTTATCCACCCTGATAAAGTCAAAATCTTTAATTATCAAGTAAATGTGTTACCCAATAACATTACCAAATTTATTCTTTTCAATCTTAAATTTTATTAATGCAGAGATGATTATATAGAGAGTAAAAACAGAATTTCTGTTCTGCATGACAAATTATATCTATTGCAGATATAATAAAACATCAAATCCAAAACTTTTACAAATTAAATTAACAAAACTAAAGACGAGGATTCTCGTCACGCGAGGAAAGCGAGCGCTTGAGAGTACTTAGAAAGGAAAGGTTTATTACAGATAATAATTACAAAATTACATATTTGTTGTATAAAACGTAGAAAAATTATAGAGGACTTTGTAGAACCGGCGGATATCGTACCTCTGGAATACATCCCAAAGAAATTGCTGATTTGGCATCGGCGATATAAAAGACATTTTCGTAAGTAATGTCCCGACGAAATGAGACAATGATACAATATCTTGCACGGTATTGCGTTTGTTAATAATACAGATAAACACACGGGAAAAACGTGATCTTCGACACGTCACTTTCTGCGTCACTTCATAGACAGCTAGACTTAGGAACTTGGTTGGACTCGATTGGGTTGGACTGGGCTGGACTGACCAATGTGGACTAATGTCGTTCTGAATTTTATAGGTGTACTACAATTGCACTTTCCACACTTTAACTTTAAATGAAATAGGCAAGTCTAGCGGGTTACAGGTGGACAATATTGGAGAAAAAAAAAATAAAAATAAAAAATTTAAATATAAGAAATGCAGCTTGATAAAAAATACAATACTGACACATTTATTTTGAAATTATTTTTAGCTATGTTATTTTTTTATGAAGGAATATTCTAGGGAGTTATTAAAAATTTTTGACAGATTTTGAGCTATGCAAGTTCAGCAATGTATATGCGATAGAAGGAAAAATTCTTTTATTTAAAACAATGTCTTTTAATTAATGAAACAAACAATAATTTATAAGAATGTCTGGCAGTCAGTCTGCGTGTTTTGATCAAAATCTGGCATTTACAGAAACATAACTATTATGTGCGACTATTATTTTTAAAACGTTTGAGTTACAAATGCATATGTCTGAAGACATAATTCGTTATAATATAATTAATCCAAAAATTATATTAAAGAGATTTTATAAATAATTATACAATGTTATATGGACTGGATTATCCTATCAAAAGGGCTATTATATATTAAGTCTAAAAAAAGAGACAGGTTAATCACTATTAATTTCTTTCTTTGTCTAGTATTGCATTAGACAAAAATATCAATCTATCTCTTTTTTTTTCATGCCCGGGCTTTAAACATTGTAATGAGCAGTATAGAGTTCACCAAAACTAGAAGAAGTTTAAGTGATCGATAATACTCTCAGTCATTACTATATGTGATAGTCCTTCCATTACTACTACTATATAAAATTTTATATAGATATATTATATTCTATGTATATAATTTCCATGATATTTCATTATAAAAATATTTTTATAAAAGAAATAGGAGACACAGGTCAGTCGAGAGATCTTTAGATAGACTTCATGCGTTAATATTAAGTCCTAATTTTTAAGTTTATTTATCTTCCACGCTCCGATTCTGTATCTAAGCCAGATAAAGAATAGATCTCTGCCCATCTGCAACCAGCTCCAAAACGGTATGATCTTGGAGCCCTCGATCTCCGTCCAGTTTACTGCTATTTCAGTCACGGGAATGTTGAGAGTCTGTGCAATGTAAAGCATTTCTACATCAAATGCCCAGCGTTCGACATGTAGCGCTTCGAATATTGTTTTCGCTGATTTTCTCGTTAAAAGTTTGAATCCACACTGCGTATCTCTAATGCCCCTGACGCACAACAGCCAGACTAAGAAATGAAAGCCGTGCATAAGAAAGAGTCGGAAATAAGATCGTTTGGCAGTTTCTTCTTTTTCCAAATGTGCTCTCGAGCCACATATTACTGCATCGGACGATGCTGTTTTCTCGGGTTTGTTAATGTAATCAACTAAAACCAATTTGTTAAAATTAATAATATTAATATTATAATCAGTAGCTCTATTAGAACCATCAGAATTTTATTCCTTTTTCAACTTACATCCTAAAACATTTATCAGACTCTCATCTAACTTCTTTAAATCGTTAAACTTGGTAGCACCATCTGCATCTGCGAACAATAAAACGCTGCCTCTTGCACTCAGCATACCCTTAAATAAATAAATTCAAATATAATAATTATATTACAATCTAAGACTGACTTATAGTCTACTTGATGCTACAAATAAAGCAATCTTTGATTGGTCAATTAATAAAATTCTCTCTTCTAACTGATCAATTAAACGATTCAAAGCATTTGTTGCATCAAATAGACTGCATCCAAAGCTTTTCAATTTCATTAGAATTACCAACCAGTCTTACAGCTCCACCTTTCCCTCTATTTTTTATAAGGTTTAATACTTTTAAAGTGCTGTATTTTGATGCATAATGATACGCCACGTCAACTGTCTTATCTGTACTGCCATCACTGACTACTATCACTTCATAAGTCAATCCAGACTTCCTACGTTCTTCCAGATACTCCAGACATTCGTCCAACATGGGAGGTACTATTAAATAATAATACAAATATACAAATAAATAATTAATAATATCTATAGATAATACATATGCAATAAATCTTACAAATAATCAAAATTAGGCTTTTGAGATATTAAACAAATATTAAATTGAAAAAACAGGCAATTAAGAGCTTTAATACACGGTAATTGGTATGATTACATTTTCAAACAACACATTTTACATAATTACAATGACTAAATGTTTTAGCTCAATTCAATCTTCAGCAGTCTTGCATAATTTTAAATGCTTGATAAATTATCAGATATATGATTTGATAAATGTATCTTACATCTTTGTTCTTCATTGTAAGCAGGTACAATGACACTAAGTTGCACACTCCAGGGGTCATATAACGAAGGAAACGCTTCCTTTATCTTCGTCTGACAGTTGAAAAAGAATTTTTCGCTTTCATCTCTCGAGATTTTGGGATACCGTTCGCTTGTCACATATATTATTATAAAAAACTAAAACAGATACGTATACTTATGTAAATATATATTTATTTAGAAGGCATTGCATTATAAAAATAATTAATAAAAAAAGATCATATATATATATATATATATATATATATAAAATTATTATTATTATTATTTTGTATAATTGTATAAGATAAAGTTACAAAAAAAGAATTATTCTTAAAATTATTATTTATGACACGTTAGGTATTAAAAAAGATGTAAGTGTAAGATAACCTTAACATACCAAGATTGTTATCAGTACAGCCAACAATACTCCGTAATAGAGTAGACATCCTAATGATAACATTTCAATATAATAAGATACTTAACAATTGGAAAATGAAAAATAAAAGATATATATTGTTAAACATATCTTTCTTTCCATTCCGGTAGTATACGTCACCTAAAAGTAGGGTTGGGTTAGTTAGGTACACATAAATACCTTACGTTTGCATGAAGTTCAAAGCCTATTCTACAATGTGCTGTTTGTTTTCTGCTTCTTGCTTTTTTTCTTCTTTGCAACCGTTTTATTGACAATTATATTTCTTGCTATATACTTCTTGTTTCTTTCAAAGTTCGTTAACTTTTATCTCGGGTGACATAAAACAAAAAACCAGATAAGAAGCAAAAAGACAAGATGAAAAAATAGTAAAAAGTAAAAACCAGGAAACTTGAGTATTCTGACTCATGTTCAGATTCCCACCACGAGTGTTCTCTAGGTGTCATGTCATCCTTGTTTAATGTTCGGTAAATAACTAGGATAGAATAATACCTAGACGGCGGGTGGGAATCTGAACATAACCTAGACTGCGTTCGGAAATCTTACTCGAATGCCTGCCTCCGTGTATCATCCTATCTTTGTTTAACATTGGATGAACATTAAGGATAAAACGATACACGAAACACTCGGGTAATGTTTACGAAACACAGCCCTAATCTTTTTTATTATTTTTAATATAATATAAACTCAATAATCAAATTTCGTGTCCTTTATATTTCAGTGAAAAGTATTTAAAACTCATGTGTATGTGACTAAAGCATAAGTGTAATCGTAGCGCTTGCTAGCATTGCAGTCACCATTCTCACTATTATATTTTATAAGCGTTTTGTATATAAGACAAAGTACAAACATTTATCCATGATCATGAAACACGTGAAATTGAATGTTATTTTTCATAGGTCATATTTTAATTCTTTGTATCTGTAGGCGATATTCATAGTCCGTTCTTATATTTTAAGGTCGTCTGAAAAATAACTATGAATACCGGCCTATATGGTATACATGTGTATTAATAAAACTTATTCAAGAGCGATGAAGCCGACGTAGGACCATAGCCCAATATTAGGTCATTTTAGGTTAGAATAGATATATTTCGTAAGTTTTCTGCGTTTTCTACGTATTCTGCGCGTTTTCTATATTTTACGCGTATCATGCCTGTTCTACAATAGAATCGCAAGTTGTAAGCCGTAAGAAATTGGCCAATCACAGTTAAATGTGAGAAGAATAATCGACTATGATTGGTTAATTTCTTACGGCTTATCGCTTACGATTCTTCTGGGTGCACCCAATAGCTGCGTTTAGCTGACTCAACAGTTGAGTGAGCGCTCGCTGTCATTGGCCTAGTTTCCATCGAAAGTTTAATCTGGATCAGAATGTAAGAACCAACCAACTACAGTCGAATATTCCCCTGCCACAGTCAAACAGGGGAATGCTCGATTATAGTTGGTTGGTTTTTATCCGGTTTAAATTCTCGGTGGAAACTAGGCCACTGATGTATTCTTTTAGAGCATCCAATCAGCATTTTAGATCTGGAAGAATGCATCAATAGCAGCGAACACTCATTCAACTGTTGAATCCGCTGAACGTAGCCTATGACAAAATAATCGATACAATTCTGTATAAAAAAATTTTATGAACATCCAATATTCGCTAATTCTTTTAATTTAATGGAAATATTTGTAACAAAAATAAAATCGAAAGTTATTCGAAAATATATTTTAACAAAAAATAATTTAAAATATATTTGTAAGCAATACCAACAATTTACCGTTTTTAAATGATCTTATCGATTATTGATCTGTTATCGATATTTTCTTAAATTTAAAAAAAGAATTAAGAATTTATTGACATTCTATAAATACAACGAAGGGAACTGTACGTAATTTAAATGAGAAGATAAAAAACCAATTTTTCGTCTTTTTTTAGAAATATTGATAATTTCGCTACAAAAGGATATATAGGACACACGGCATTTCATAGTGACGGTCGAAAGTTACATAAGATTTTACCGTATAGCGCGTGCAACGTGTATTACAATTAATGTAAAGAATATTTAGAAGATACTCTGTATGTCGACGACTGATCCCTGCAAAAAAATTGCATGTAAATTGCAGACCTGCTTGCAAGGTTTGTTTAATTTATCTAATTTAAAGTAAAGAGGAAAGTAAGTTGTTCCTAACCTCTCTTCATAAAATTTAAGCGTTAAATATATAATTAAAAACTTTATTAAATTGATAAATTGCAAAACTTAAAAAGAAACAGAGATAACAGATCCAGATAAATGTACTTTGTATTAATATATGGAATAAAAAATGAAACTGAAACAGGACTTTGACAATTTATATGTGATATTAATGTGATAATAACAAAATAATATAATAAACACTCAAATGTTTATTAGAGTAAGTATGAAATAATGTTTTTCCGTTTTTCAGATAATGTCTTTCAGCCTTCCCGTTGTCAGGATGTACTTGAACAAATAAGAAAATGTTGTATGAAACATTCTGATTCTGCAGTTTGTGATGGTATAAATATCTTGAAACCGTATGAACATAATACTGTAGATTATGTAAGTCTCATATTTGCTTTATTCAAAAATGTAGAATTTTATATTTTATTAGTTAGATGACTATGTATCTTTCAGCAGTTACACAGATTCTATTATAATATTACCTTTTTTTAATATTCTTTCAGCGGAAAGTTATAAGATAAGCAATGCAAAGCGAAGGAAGAAGAAGGCTAACAGTTCCAAAAAGAGGATTTGCACAACGTTATCCACGAAGTGTTATATTCCTGGGTGGAACATTTATGCTATGTATACTATTCAGTAAACCTATTTACGATGTATTTTTCTTTAAACTACCAGAGGACGTTAAACCCGGCAAATCTAAGATTATGACCAAATAAATCTATTTGTGCGAAAGAATGGAGGCTGTAAAAAAAGCGAAGGAGAGATTGAGACAGTATCCGATTCTGTTAGTCCGATGTCAGGAATCGGCGTCGAGGTACGCGTCTTGCGTGTTAGCAAAATCCAATTTAGAAAAGAACGCCTGCGCCGCGGAGTTCAACGAATTGAAAAAATGTCTTGTTAAAGCCGCTGCGAGCAATAATACCAGATTATAAACGAGCTTGAAGATTGATCAGTGGGTTTCTGTGTACTTGATTTTATGCCTTACCTTTAGTCGTACAAGATGATAACTGTGAGACCCGCTAAATTAAATATCTCGTCATTTACGTTGCATTGTTTATTGGCATTTGTTCTACGTTTAGTATTGATACTGTACGCCAATTTTCACGACGAGTATCTCGCAATACCGTACACAGATGTGGATTATAAAGTATTTACTGATGCTGCTAGGCATGTGATAGAACAGAGATCACCGTTTGATCGTCATACTTACCGCTATTCACCATTTCTGGCCTGGCTGTTGACCCCAAATATTATAGTACATAAGGACTTTGGAAAAATCTTGTTTTCTGTTGTAGATATATTAATTGGGGTCCTAATTAAAAATATTGTCGCTCGACAGAGATGTAATGAGACTGTGAAACATTACTGCGCGCTCCTATGGCTTTATAATCCGTTAACGTTAGTGATCTCAACGAGAGGTAACGCAGATTCATTGGCAGTTCTTTTAGTCGCACTCACATTGGATTTGTTACAGAGAAACAAAATTGTATTGGCTGGATTATTACATGGAATATCTGTACATTTCAGATTGTATCCATTAATGTTCAGTTTGCCTATGTTTTTATCTCTATGTAAAGGTAATCGTTTCCTGCCGAACAGGGATCAATGGAAACTTGTGCTGAGTTGCGTATTGTCGATTGTTACACTGACAGTCACGGGTTATCGCCTGTATGGCTTTAAATTTTTGTATGAGAGTTTTATATATCATTTAGTACGTAAAGATGCAAGGCATAATTTTTCCGTGTATTTTTACATGTTCTATTTATCTGCTAATCAATCACAGGATATAATTCAGAAGATCCTTACATTTTTGCCGCAATTATTATTGTTGTTGATGTCGTCATATTATTATTCAGAAAAATCCAAGTTACCATTTGCTATGTTTGTCCAGGCGATGATCGCTGTGATATATAATCCGGTGATAACTTCCCAATATTTCTTCTGGTTTCTGTCTCTGTTACCTCTGTGTTTACCAAATATCGAAATGAATCTGCGTAGGGGAATATGTTTAGCGTGTTCTTGGATCTTAAGCCAAACTATTTGGTTGTTAACAGCTTATTTACTAGAATTCCAAAGTTTTAATTCGTTTTTCTTTCTTTGGATATCTGGTCTTCTATTTTTTGCTGTTAACGTAAAAGTTTTAGTAGAAATTATTTATCATTATAAAAGTTAGTTATAACTATATAACTTTTATCACAATAGATAGAATTAATCTGTACATTAAAAATGAATGACTTAAAAAGTATGTCCAGAGAAATCTTACATATGAATTATATCTTTGACGAATGTATGGCATAAAATAAATGCACAATCAGTTATAACTTAAAAATGAATTATATAGAATTATATTTTGGTGTTTAAATGTGAATGTACAGAATGTCAAAATTACAATTTTAAATTTCGTTTATGAATTCTTTGCACAAATTGATCTTTATTGAGCCAGATAGATGTCATTTATTTTTGTACTTTATGAAATTTTCATTAAGTGAGCACGATGAGTTTGTCTGAGAAAAGATTTATAAAACTATTTATAAAACTTCCTTCTTCGAATTTTTAATACAACATTAGAATTTTACAGTTGTAATTTTGTGACATCCCGTACTATTAAATTCTTGGAAAATACCTAGGGTAGCAGATAGTGGATTGTTCAAAAAACTTGAATTTATTTAAGTTTTAATAAAAAAGCACATATTATCTACAAGTCTGATTATTTATAAAGTATCACTTTCATTATTCTACGCGGTACTTATATCGGCGTTAAAAATATCAGACGAGTTATAATGATTCTTAATTTTATTCTTTTGCAGGAATACAAAATACTTATTTACAGATAGCTTCGTAAAGTAATAGTGGTAGATTCTGAAAAGGAATGTAGATATATTAGTAATAATACAATAATCGTAAATCTTACTATAGTAATCTAGATTAATTGTGAGCAAGAGCATCTCTTGGATCCGAGAGATTTCTTTATCGATTCGATTGTTCTAAGCTGCTAAATATCATGACAGTAATATTATTGGGTCATTTCTTGTCTTGATTGCACGAGTGATGGTATGCAAATATTTGCATTAAATTTAAATTTTTCTGCCATCGCAGTCTATCCGTGTGATTATCCGTGGAGATATTTGACACGTACACATAAAAAAAAGATGCCTGAGAAATATCGAATTACTTTTATCTAAATGTATCTCTGCCGACTTTTAAATAAAGAAGAAGGGAATCGTGTTACATCACTATTTTCGAATATAACTACATTTGATTTACGTAGAGGTGTCGAATCGATTTCCTTAGGTTATTCCATAGAAACGTGCATTTTTCGGCGAATTTTTTTAGCGACACGAAATGGCCCAATGGATACGAGTCGAAAGTAAAAGGAAAAAACCGAAATAGATCTTCTCTTTTATATAACTACGGGTCTTTTTACGGCGGGGATGATGATGAAGTGCAACATATAAAAATAGCATTATTTTCTTTCATTGCTTTCGTTACAGTTTGCTCAACTGTGTGCTATATGAAGTAATCTATTTTATTTGTTCTCTTTCTCTCTTTCTTGAAACGGATACACACGACTGATCTTCGTCAAACGCCTGCGCGGAACGTTTGTACGGAGATCAGTCTGGATAACATCAGGGGAAGAGGGGCGAAGTTCCGGGTCACGCAGAGAATGAAAGTACAGGCCACCGCGATCGAAGCGATAAAAATTATAAATAATCTCCATCTTGGCCGCGCGGCCCGGAAGTTACCCCCCGGAGAAAATGTTTTACATTATTCACAAACCGATCCACCGTCTCGTTAAGCCTTCCCTGAAAGAAAAATCATTGATAGAAAGGAATCGTACGTGATTATGTAAGATATAAAAGACTATACTTGGACGAATACGGGAACGAAAGTCCGAGGTACATACAAGTACTAAGTAAGGAAAGTGTAAATTCGTCTTTCGCACAAACCCAAACACTTTAAGAAAAAAAAAAAAAAAAGAAAAAAAAAACCAGGAGCGTGCCATTCAAGAATAAAGCGATTGGCGTAGCAAATTTCTTTGTTTTTTTATAGCATATTAATCTCGATCAAAAACTTCGAACGAAAACTTCGTGGATGCGAAACATTTCGTAAATTTTTTTTTCTTTCCCGATACCCTTCTATGAGAAATTTTGGGCCGAGCAGGATAATTGTGGCACTAAGTTAAATATCGCAACAATTTCCGAGAATAGAGAGACAAATGATAAATCGTCGCTTTATCAAAAGAATTTCCTGACACGAAGCATCGTCGTTATTCTCAGTGACTTTATGATTATTATTGCTCTTATTGTTGCTACGTCACTATTATCCTAGTGTCACAATTACTCCGCTTGACCCTACACGCCGATACTAAATAGAATGGGTGCACCGATGCGTACGTTAATGTGCTCTTTTAAGAAAGACGGCTGGCTCGGGGTTGCTCCTAGCATTTTCTTTGCAACGATGCAACGTTGGTCGCACAAAGATTACCTTGTTTCATCTCGGCCTTGCACAAAATGAGAAACATGTACAACGTTACGCGGAAACGAGATACGATGTAATTTCCAATATATCGACGCATCGATAATTGCGCACTGAATAAGGGAGCATAAAAAAAAATAGCGTGCTGCAATATCAGAGGTATGAGTCAAGAAAAAATATGATACGAGAACGAAGGGAAACGTCAGACTAACGGGGGACTATGTTATGGCAAATATTTAATAAAATATAATAACATCGGTGATATATGTATAGGTATATATATATACACATTACAGTCTACGGAAACATAAGATAAACGGCACTACATTCGCTTAACGATAAGTACGTAAATGGATTACAAATAACAAAATAATAATAATAATAATAATAATTACTATATAATTATCTTGCACGAAAAATGCGATCACCAATAAGAGATAAAATGTACATCATGATAAAATAGATTGTATATATATATATATATTTATATTTTTCAAGTTATAAAATCGTATTGCTAGTAAAAATTGCGTTTTTTTTAACACATTTCTAGATATTATATTTCCAAAATCTGTGATTGGTGCAACTAAAAAGGTTCGTATATATGTTAATAAATATACGAAAAAGACATATTTACTTTAATTATATATAACGATAATAATTAATTGACAAAAATTAGCAGTATTTTCAAAGATATTGACAATAAAATTTTTTAAGCACTCTGATAAAATATGGATAATTGACCTCACTGTATCTTTATCTTATACTTGTATGAAAAGAAGAAGACACGATTTATCAGATAAAGTAAAAATATCTTGTTTTGGAAAGTTCGAAAAGTTAATTAAAAATTTCATAAAAAGAATAAATACATTGAGTTACACCAGTCTCATATACGGAAGTATAATATGCGTGTGTAAAAAGGAATAATTAATAATAAAAGTAATTAAAGCACTCGGTGAACGTGCACACAAATCATGCGACCACGTACAGGACGTAATTGAAATAATACACATGTAATGTAACGTAAAATAAAATTTCTTTGGCTTTTTACACGATTGAAAAGAAATACGCTCCGCGTAAATGTATGAGGGTGTATCAGAAATTGCGCATATCCTCCCGACGATAATTCTTTTTTTTTTGCGAGGCTGAAATTGATTATTTCTTTTTTGCACAGAAAAGATTGAATTGCACGTCGTTATCTATCACAAATATGCGTTTTCAACACGTAAACGTTATTCAGCTTTCAAATTTTTGTCAGAGTTAAAAATCAAGTGAAAGATTTTTTTTTTAACCATTTGCTATCCATTCTCTCACGCTTGAAGCTGAATTCGTCAGAAATCTCTGTTTGACAAGGGACTTCTGATACAGCTTACGTTATTTACATCGTTGCAAATCGTGCTTTGTCCTCACTCGTGCATAAGACAAATAAGATAGAGATTTCGCCACGTGAGAAAAAAAAAAGATGGATAAGCCAAG